GGGACTGGACAGGCTGTGGACCCTTGAAGGGAGGCGGAGGAGGACCAGGAGAAGGTGTAAGACCAAGAACCTGCTGCCGGAGAGGAACGAAGTACGGTCAGGGCCGCGTGGCGACGCCAGAAACAGCAGGGACAGCACCAGTACCTTCAGCAGGAGTACCCGCTCCAGCAGCACCTCCAGCAGCACCTCCAGCGCCAACACTCTCAACAGCACCAGCTCCAGGAGAACCCTTAGGCCCAGCAGCTCCAGCAGCCACAGCACGAGCACCTCCGGGACGCGCGGTAGCAGCACCCTCTGCAGCCGAAGAACCTCCAGCACCAGCAGCACGCCTCCAGCGCCGGGCAAACCACTCACGCAGCTCCTGTGGGGAGAGTGGCTCTCGGCGAGACGAAGCACCTCCAGGCGGAGAACCACCAGGCGAAGAACCTCCAGGCTCAGCACCCTCAGGCAAAGCACCTCCAGGTGGAGCACCCCCAGTCTCAGCACCCCCAGGCTCAGCACCCCCAGGCTGAGCACCCCCAGACTCAGCACCCCCAGGCTCAGCACCCCCAGACTCAGTACCCCCAGGCTTAGCACCCCCAGGCTCAGCACCCCCAGGCTCAGTACCTCCAGGCTCAGCACCCCCAGACTCCGCACCCCCAGGCTCAGCACCCCCAGGCTCAGCTCCCGCAGCAGCACCAGAGTCACCAGTGACCTCGACAGGCTCGACCGCGTCTACCTGGGACACACCTGAAGGGGCAGGATCCTGAGGGGGGAGGGGGTCTACCGGGGGGGGACCTGGTACCAAGAAGAGCGGGGGCGGGGGGAGGGACGGAGTGCGGTAGGGGAAGAGGCGGTAGTAGGGTACCGACTCGTCGAACGTGACGTCCTGGGAGGACAGAACACGTCGAGAGGTGGGGTGGTAGAACTGCCACCCAGGGGCGTCGGGGGGGAACCCCAGGAAGACGCAGGGAGCAGCGCGAGGGGACAGCTTGTCCGCAGACAAGTCGCGGACAAACGCCCGAGATCCCCAGACCCGGAACGCCGACGCATCGCCAACCTTCCCCGTCCACAGCAGGGCTGAGGAGGTCTCCGGCCTGGGGACCCTGGGGTGGAGGTTGATCTGATGCGCCGCGTAGCTGACCGCAAACGGCCACAGAAAATGGGGGGCAGCCGCATGCATCATAGACGTACGAGCGACGTCCATGACCATGCCAATGTGGCGCTCTGCAATCCCATTTTGCTGCGGTGAGTCCGGAAGCGTGAAGGTCTGGCGGATGCCTCGCGCACGACAGAAGGCACGCAGAAGGCCAGAGGAGAACTCTCCGCCTCTGTCCGAGTGCAGACGCAACACAGGAAAGTCCGAGCCAAAGCTCTGCCTGAGCTGGAGACTAGCTGCGCGGATCCAGTCGATAAGCACCTCAGTGACATCACCCTTGCTGCGCAAGGGGAAGACTGTGGTGTAACGCGAGTAGTCATCAACCACCAACAGGAAGTAGCGCTCGTGACCGAGTCCACGGACGCGGGCAGGGCCCCACACGTCCATGTGAAGTATCTGCAACGGAGCCTCTGTCGGAGGAAACTGGGAGGAGTGAGGGGCAGCACGCAGGCGCCCCTCGACACAGGGGACACAGGCAGGGCCAGGGCCCTGAGGAAGGGGAGGGAGGGACCGGGGGAGACCAGACACAAGAAGACGGGAGGCCATGCCTCTGAGCCGAAGCAGAGAGGGGTGGCCAAGGCGGTGGTGCCAGAGGAGAGTCTCGTGAGACAGACGGCGACACGAACAGGGGGCAGACTCAGGACCAGACCTGGACGCTGCAGCAAACACCTGACCAGACGAATGGACTCTACCAGACTCAGCACCGGGAGGAGAAGCAGTGGTCAGTGTATACAGGCTCGACCCTGGCTGACGTCCTTCGCACCGGCGACCACGCGGGTGAGCAGTGTGGGGGCACCCACACCGCTCGTCGCTGCTTTGCCCGCTTGACCGACGCTTGGCGCCAGCAGTTTCCGGAGGCCTCTGAGATCCCCCGCTGGGGAGAGCTGTCCAGGGCTGGTGTAGCTGTTTTTGATCTTGACTTTGATGCTATCCTTGCTGCCATGTATGCTGTGACTGTTAGTGATGATGGTGACTGTTACCGGTGTTTCCCGCCCGACCCGGGCATTGGTACTGCTGCGTCAGGTGTCAGTGAGGCTGCTGCTCTAGGTGCCATTGCGTCTGTGCTCTGATACCATGAGAAGAAGTGAACGATAATGAATGAACTATGAATGAAGTGAGTACAAATATAAAACCCTAATTGGGTTGTACCCCTTATGGGATACCCCACTAAAGCCTACACAGATAAGTAAGCTATAATGTTCTGACAACACTTTGCAGCCATGCCAGCACATCGTGACAGGTAGCGCAGCCAGTCAGGTCTTCGAGAGTCAAGCTACGCGAAAATGAGATTGCACTCGCTTCAAAAATGAAATTCGCTATCGCTTTGAACAGAGCTTTTATTTTAAAATTGTATATGCGCTTATAATAAGTTAAGTTTTCAAAGGGTGTGCGCTTATAATTGAGGATCGGCCATAAGCGCATAGCTGCAGATAGAAGCGCATGGGCTTATCATAGGCCTGCGCTTTTATCGGGGGTGATACGGTACCATTGCAAGGTGGGTGGTTCAACAAGTTCACTCAAAGACGCTTCCGCTAATACATCATTACCCTGAGCCTTTAATCTTGAAAACTGATTCTAAGGGCTTTCCTAAGCCCAACATAGTGCTGCTGACCTACAATGTTGGCAAGTCATTCTCCTAAGTGCTGGCTGGGTATACGGTATTTCTTTTGCCCCTTCAATGCAACCCTAGTTTGAAATTGCAGAAATATAGATGGCATCAGAAAGGATTCAGTTTCCACCGCCTTATAGAACCAAGCTATATTGCACAAAACCCGCTACACAGTTGGTCATCTGGTTTTGCTGTAAGTGCCGCAGCTGCCCTGGTGGTCCTTGCTCCCTGGCGTGAACGTTCTGTTACCACCTGAATAAATGGAGTCAATTGGACGGATCTGACACATGGCCATACGTTTTTGGTGCTTAGCGACCATTACAGCTACAAGCCAGCTGACCGCCACACAAGACATGACAATCTGGTAGACATATCTCTTGGTCTCAGTATTGTTTGTCGCGTGATGACGACTCCGCCCAATCGCTCTCAGGTATCTCGTCTCTTCCGGCTTCTGGACTGTCGAAGTTAACAATCTGTGCTATCCAAGCCCAGCCTGACAGATGTCGCGTAGCAAAATTACACTCCTGCCAGCCACCTGAAATGCAGAACAGATAAGTGATCCCGCCCTTCACTGTTAGCGTAACAGAAGCTCAACAAGTACTAAGCTAGTTGAGAGGTCCAAAACTGAGAACGTGGAGAGCACCGGTATAGATCGTCAAGTACCAGCATAGAAACCGAGATACCAGACAGTACCGTTTTTCCCACTCCAGCTCAACATCATCCGAACCGTATTGTAAGTTTCGTTGAAGTTCTATCACCTCTACCAACCGCTGTTCAACTATTTGTAAATCTCAATTAGTTACCCAACCAGCCTCTCACACACCCACCCAAGTTCCATCCTTACTCCCCTTCTAGTACCTCTGCCCCGACTGTCCCTCCCTTTCCTACACCGCGTTTCGCGCTAACGACAACGATTTCTCTCATGCGAAGTCGCTGACGGCGAAGCGTAGTGTCTCTATCAGATCCCGACGCTAGCTCCTTGCGAATTCTTCGATAGGTTCCTAAAATCCGCACTACTAACAGGCATCGCAGGCGTCGCACTCGTCGAATACCCTAGAGTTGTCGTCATAAGCAACAGGAGCCATGGCGTATCGCAAGCGCGTCGCGATATGGATAGGGATAACCCTTCTCGCCTCCACATTATTACTTATCGCGGACGGAGCGGCTGGCGGCAATGCGAATGGTGGCGGCAATACGAATGGTGGCGGGTCGACGAAAAATACAGGCACCTCTAGCAGCGGGACCACTAGCAGCGGGACTACTAGCAGCGGCACCACTAGCAGCGGCACCACTAGCAGCGGTACCACTAGTAACGGGAATACCAAGAACAACGCAAATACTGCGGCTGCCGGGAATACCGCTAGTAACGGAAACACTGCCAGCAACGGGAATAGCCAGAGCAATGGAAATTCAGCGTCTGCGGGGAATACTGCCGGTAGCGGATCCTCTGCTAGTAACGGGAATACGCAGAACAACGGAAATACTGCGGGTGCCGGGAATACTGCTAGTAACGGAAATGGAAACACTGCCAGTAACGGGAATACCCAGAACAAGGGCAGCACGGTATCTAGCGGCCCTCCAGCATCCCCATCTTCAACGTCTACGTCAAATTTTCTGTCTCTGCCGGTCAACGGGTGCACTCCGTCAGCTTGCCAGAATCCGTCACTGGGATTCTACAAGGGCACGTTTCAGCAGGCGTCGAATGCGGCTGCAGTCCAAAACATGAACTACGGCGAATACGTACGTTGCGGGCAGTTTCCGCTGTAGCGTTTATCGATGCTGTTCCGTGTGTATATCGAGCGCAGTTGAGGGTTTCACTTCGCAAATCACGAATTCACGCAGTTCATAGCTCTCCGATTCAGCGTGTGATGAGTCGATTTTTAAGTCAACAATCATTTTTGAATCGGCTCTCCGAATCCTCCTTGACCCTCCTCGATGATTTATGTATCCTGCAATCCTTTTCCACTTGTTTCCTTTACCTTCCTCTCGTCTCGCCCTCTCCTCCTGCCCCGCCTTTTTGGCCCTCCAATCCCCTTCCATCCCTCTTTCCTCCCCACTCCTCCCCACTCCTCCCCTCTCCTCTTATCAGATCTACGGCACGCGAATCAGCTCCGACCTTGCCAAGTCATCAACTGACGTGCGTCACGCTTCCTTCAACTCACCCCTTCGTCTTTCCCTTTCTTCCCTCTCCCTCTCTCCCTCTCTCCCTCTCTCCCTCTTTCTCCCTCTCCCCCCCCCCCCCCCCCCCATCAGATATACGGCACACGAATCAGCTCCGACCTCGCCAAGTCATCTACTGACGTAAGTCGCGATTGCGTAACCGCGTGCCGAGCCGCGTACCGTTTCGCCGTCCCTTCCGCCTTCCCTTCCGCCTTCCCTTCCGCCTTCCCTTCCGCCTTCCCTTCCGCCTTCAATTTCGCCTTCTCGTCAGACGTTCCCGCCCCCAACCTTCTCTCCCCCTTCACTCTCCCCTCTCCCTCCCCTTCCTCTCTCTATTATTCTCGTCCCCCTCTTTCCCCCCCTCCTCCCCCCCCTCCCCACCTTCTCGTCGTTTCCGTCACGCCCTTGCTTCCGTCAATTTCATTTCGCATTCGCCCTCTGTTAATCTCGTCGCCCCTGCCCTCCCCCTTCCCCCCCCCTCTCCCCCACTTCCCCCCCCTCTCCCCCACTTCCCCCCCCTCTCCCCCACTTCCCCCCCCTTCCCCCTCCCCCTCCCCCTCCCTCCCACCCCGCTCTCTCCCCCTCCTTCCCCTCTCTCACGCCCACACACCTTCACGCCCTTGCTTCCTTCGGTTTCATTTCGCTTTTCGCTTTTCACTCTGCACTCTCTCTCCCCTCCTCTGCTTCCCACTCACCAATCCTCTTCCCCTCCTCTCCTCCGCTGTTCTCTCCTCCCCTCCCCTCCCCTCCCCTCCCGTCTCTCCCCCTCCCCTCTCCGCATTCCCCCCTTGCCCCCTCGTGCCCCCGCCCCCCCGCCCCTCCGCTCTCCTTCCGCCCGCCAGGCGAAGACCTTCCCCGACTGCTGCACGGACTGCGCCAACACCGCGGCCTGCCACTACTTCCAGTTCTACACTCCAGAGTAGGTCTTTCTACGCAATCCATCGCTCTGCACCGCTCATTCACCCTTTGCACCTCTCTGCACTGCTTTACACCGCATTGCACCGCAATCTGCCGCACTCCCTTGCGTCGCTGCACGAACTGCGCCAACACTGCGGTCTGCCGCACTCCCGCTACGCACTCCACCACAATCCACCGCACTCTAACGCACTCCCTCCATCGCGCTGCTCCGCTCTTCACAGCTCTCCACCGCATTGCGCCACAATCTGCCGCACTCCCTTGCTTTGCTGCACTGACTGCGCCAACACCGCCGCCTGCCACTATTTTCAGTTCTACACGCCTGAGTAGGTTCCGTACGCAGCTCCATCGCTCCGTACCGCTCTGCAGCGCTTTGCACCCACTGCACCGCTCTCCACCGCTTGCACCGCAATCTGCCCCGCTCCCGTTGCTTCGCTGCACGGATTGCGCCAACACTGCGTCTCGTCCTCTAGAAACCGCAACCCCATTTTTCCCCTCTCCTTCTCTTCCCCCTCACTCTCCCTAACCCTCATTCACCCCTTCAGCTCCATTTCTTTCCCCCCTACTTTCACCTCTTCCACTTCCTCGGCACCTGTGCCCTTTTCCCTCGCCCATCATTTCCCCCACTCGCTCGTCCCCCCTGACTCCCCTCCTCTCCCCCCTGACTCCCCTCCTCTCCCCCCTGACTCCCCTCCTCTTCCCCCTGACTCCCCTCCTCTCCCCCCTGACTCCCCTCCTCTCCCCCCTGACTCCCCCTGACTCTCCTCAGCCTGTCCCTCCCCCACCATCCCAGTTCCATCTTCCGCCCCTGGCGTACAGAAGCAGCGCTTCCTTTCTCCTCGGCACCTGTACCCCCCTCCCTAACAATTTGCTTCTCTCTCCCCCTTCCCCCATCCTCCTTTCGTCCCCCATTCCCCCCCCTTCTTCCTCCTCCCCCTCTTCGTTTCCCCCTTCAGCTCCATTTCTTCCGCCCCCGGCGGACAGAAGCAGTGCTTCCTGCTCTCTGAGGCGCCGGCTGGCCTGGCGATCAGCGGGCCTCTCAGCTAGTAAGTGCCGCCGCTAACCATCTAATTATTTATTCGATTTCGTTAATGAGCACTTGTGCTCTCTGAGGCGCCGGCTGGACTGGCGATTAGTGGGCCTCTCAGCTAGTAAGTGCCGCCGCTTACCCTTTTCTTTATTCAACCTTTTGTATTTCAGGTGTACAATTTTTTCGAAGCCCATCCCCCACTCTTCCTTCACCCCTCTCCATCCCCCTCCCCACTTCATTATTTTTATTGAGTCACTCATTTTTTCTTTTTTTCTTTTTTAAATTCATGCAACTCCATGTAGCTTCCGGCATGCAATCATCCTTGCTGTTACTTTTGTGCCGAATGCTTATTATTATTATCGTCTCTCAATACAATCGCATTGTGTAGAGGATCTTTTACAGCCTTTCCGCTTCCCTCAATGCGTTGTCTATCCTGCCTCTTCTTACCCTACCCTCCCTCTTTCAGTGTTGGCGGTTTCTGCAACCCCCCTGCTTCAGCCACCCAGCAGCAGTCCCCCTCAACCACCTCCTCTGGCTCCTCCTCCTCCTCCACCTCTTCCTCGTCCTCCTCCTCTTCCTCCACCACCACTTCTCCGACTGTTTCTGTGACCTCTCCCCCTCCTCCCGGCGTGAAGGGCGATCCGCATTTTGTGGGGTGGGACGGAGTGCATTTCGATTTCACCGGCCAGCCCGGCCACAGCTACTGCATGCTGTCCGATAACAACGTTCACGTCAACATGTATTTGGATGGTTACACGGAAACCAGCGCGAAAGGCGTCAAGGAAACGCACTCGTGGATCAAGGGTCTCGGATTTATCACGCCTAATCATAAGCTCGCGCTGTTCGCGAAAACGAGCGCGAGTCCCTCGCGAAACGGCGGGTATATGAAGCGGATTGTTCTTGACGGCCGGGAGTTTAATCTGACGGAGGGGACCAAGTACGGGACGGCTGACGGGGAAATCGAGATTGAGTTTGACGAAGCCGGGAGGAAAGAGGGAGATGAGGAGTCAGACGTGTACACTGTATCTGTCCGCGATACATTGAAGATTCTCCTTCGCATGCGTCCGGAAATTGGGGGAGTTCGACGTCCCGAGGATTCGTTTATCCACTTCTCGATGGAGATTTTAGACGAGCAGCTGTCTACACGCACGCACGGAATTCTCGGCCAAACACTGTACAATCTGAACAACCCCGAAGCGGCTCCTACTGGGTATGATGTGGAGTACAGTGGGGTGGTTTGGGCGTGGCAGGTGGTGGGTGCTGACGCGGAGAATTACATTCAGGGGACCCCTTCGGATTACGTTACCAGCCACCTGCTGACCTCGGATTGCCGTTTCTCGAGGTTCTCCCGCCGGGGTTTGTTCCATTCCGCCCTCTCCCTTGGCTGCTGGCGCAAGGGATTCGTGTGCTGAGCTGGAAGGCTTTCTCGTGTTCTGATTTGGGACTATCTGGTGTGCTGAAGTGGCACGCCTGGTTTTATTGACGGGCTATCTTGATGGTTCTTCTGTGTTAGGTTCACCAAATGACAAGTGAAAAGCAACACATGGGGAGGCGGTTTAAAGACCTACAATGGGGGTGTGGGTGTGCAACACACCTTAGAACGTCTTCCTCTACTCTTCCTTTCCAACTATGGTGGCCTTGATTAGTAGCTACCTCTCTGCAGTATACCATCAGATGGCAACCACATGCTTGGGTTGTCATGGTCGTTTGGGAAACGCTGGTCGGGGCCCCTAAACTTATGCTGCTTGTTTGGATGGGTGTGGTGCAGTTCATTAGAGGTGGGTGTCCTGATTCAGGCTTCACGTTATTTGTTGACATTTATTTATTTGATTGCTATTACTGTTACTCACTTGGTTGCATGGCTGGAGGAACAATAAGCATACCAGTATGGATGCAAGTGGTGGCTCTGCTGGTGCTTGGTTTCTGGGCTGTTGTTTTCACGGATTTCCTAATTAGATGCCCCTTAAAGCCCGAGTCTAGAATGGTAAGGGCAACTTCAAGATTCTTGAACTTGTGTTCGTCAAGAACAGGGTAACCAGGTTCGGAAAGCTGATCTCTCGCGACTCACCGAGAAGGGAGCTGGTGGGCCAGAAGGTGATTGGCCAAATGGCCCACAGCAAAAACACCGACGAGCCTCGCGAGAAACAAACAAGGACAAGTACCACTGTTCACACTTTCACAACTTGAAACTCGAGAAAACCTTTCTAGACTCGTAGCATAGTGGCCTCCATAGCCCTAGTTCTCATCAGTAGCCAGCATAGATACGCCCATCTCCCTGCCCTATGCTAAGACGTTAGTAGCACACAGAGATGAAAATTCCCGGCGACTTATTTCGCGCATAAAAAATCCGATCTCGTAGCCATGAACAAAGACAGGACCCTCAGATTGATCACCACCGTGAGAATCACTCGTCGCCACTGAAGGTATCCCAGTCCGCACTCAATGCCGGTCCGCAATCACTCAAGGCCCGCCCTCACTCCCGTCAAACTCTCTCTCCCGTCGCGCTCTCACTCCCATCGCTCTCTCACTCCCACAACGCTCTCACTCCCGTCGCTCTTTACTCCCGTCGCTCTCTCACTCCCGTCGCGCTCTCACTCCCGTCGCTCTCTCACTCCCGTCGCGCTCTCACTCCCGTCGCTCTCTCACTCCCGTCGCTCTCTCACTCCCGTCGCGCTCTCACTCCCGTCGCGCTCTCACTCCCGTCGCTCTCTCACTCCTGTCGCGCTCTCACTCCCGCCGCGCTCTCACTCCCGTCGCTCTCTCACTCCCGTCGCGCTCTCACTACCGTCGCTCTCTCACTTCCGTCGCGCTCTCACTCCCTTCGCTCTCTCGCTTCCGTCGCGCTCTCACTTCCGTCGCTCTCTCGGTGACTGTCGCGCTCTCACTCCCGTCACCCACGCACGTCGCTCGCACATGTCGCTCACACGTGACACACACGACTCACTAGCACATGTCGCTCATATCTGCTCCTCTCCCCCTCTTCCCCCTTTGCGCCCTTCCCCGTTTCTCCTCTTACCATCTTCTTCTGTCACTCACACACGTCACACACGACATGCTCACACATGTTCCCATCTCCCCTCTCCTCCCTTTCCCTCTCCGCTCCTCTCCTCCCTTCCCTCTCTTTCCCCCTCCTTCCCTTCTGTGTCTTCGCCTCGCCGCCCCTCCCACTCATCCCCTCTCCTTCCTTTCCCTCTCGTCTTTTCTCCTTCCTTCCATCTGTCCATTCTCTTTCCTCCTTCCTTACTCACTCCCGTCTGTTACCCACATCAATCCTGTTAATCATTCCAGTCACTCACTGTCCCACTCCTCCCTTACCTCTCTCACACCCCCTCCCTCTCACACCTCTTCCGTCTACCACTACTGCAACTGCCGTGCATCCCCGTGACGCAGGGTGCAGGTGATGGCGGCGTGTTTGCGTGGCTATGTGGCTTTGTCAATGTTGGGGGAAGGGGGGAAATGGGAGGCGGAAGGGAATGGGAGACGTCGCCCACGTCGCTCCCGTCACTCCCTTCCCTTCGGCCCCGACCCTCTCCGCCTCTCGCCCCTTCCCTCGTCGTCTCTCCCCTTTCCCTTTCCCCTATGTCCTTTCATGCGATTTTCCCTTATACCCTCCCTCCCTACCTCTATTGTCCGTCCCACCGTTCCTCCCCCTTGTTTCCCTCCTTTTCCGCCCGTGTCCTGCCCTCTGTTGCCCCGATCCCCATGCCCTATACCCCATGTCTCTCCCTCCCTTTGCCCCATGCCACATTCCCCCTGCGCCATGCCCCCATACCCGTACACCATACCCCATGCCCCATACTCTCTTTGCCTCTTCTCTTCCAATCAATCCCCCTTACTTCGGTTCACCTTTAGGGGGGCGGGAGGGGGGCAGGAGGGGGATGGGAGGGGGGATGGGAGGGGGGGGCGGGAGGGTGGATGGGAGGGGGATGGGAGGGGGATGGGAGGGGGATGGGAGGGGGATGGGAGATTGATGGGAGGGTGATGGGAGGGGGATGGGAGGGGGGATGGGAGGGGGGATGGGAGGGGGATGGGAGGGGGATGGGAGGGGGGATGAGAGGGGGGCGGGAGGGTGGATGGGAGGGGGATGGGAGGGGGGCGGGAGGGGGGATGGGAGGGGGATGGGAGGGGGGCGGGAGGGGGATGGGAGGGGGATGGGAGGGGGATGGGAGGGGGATGGGAGGGGGATGGGAGGGGGGTGGGAGGCGGATGGGAGGGGGATGGGAGGGGGATGGGAGGGGGATGGGAGGGGGATGGGAGGGGGGATGGGAGGGGGATGGGTGGGGGGTGGGAGGGCGATGGGAGGAGGGCGGGAGGGTGGATGGGAGGGGGATGGGAGGGGGATGGAGGGGGATGGGAGGGGGATGGGAGGGGGATGGGAGGGGGATGGGAGGGGGGTGGGAAGGGGGTGGGAGGGGGATGGGAGGGGGGTGGGAGGGGGATGGGAGGGGGATGGGAGGGGGATGGGAGGGGGATGGGAGGTTGATGGGAGGGGGGGTGGGAGGGGGGATGGTAGGGGGATGGGAGGGGGATGGGAGGGGGATGGGAGGGGATGGGATGGGGATGGGAGGGGGACAGGAGGGGGATGGGAGGGGGATGGGAGGGCGATGGGAGGGGGATGGGAAGGGGATGGGAAAGGGATGGGAGGGCGACGGGAGGGTGATGGGAGGGGGACAGGAGAGCGATGGGCGGGGGACGGGAGGGGGATGGGAGGTCGAACGGGAGGGGGAAGCCGAGGGCGACGGGAGGGAGAAGTGAGGGCGATGGCGGGGGAAGCAAGGGCGATGGGCGGGGGGAGCTGGTGCGACGGACGGTGGATGCGAGATATCGACGGACGGGGGAAGCGAGGACGACAACGCTCTAATTTCTCATCTCGCACAATATCTCCGTGCTTCACACTCGCATTCGAGCCACATTCCCTACCTCGGTCCTCGGATTCCTCTCGATTCCTCGCAGCATATGTTCTCACATGTCATACCTTGCTATTTTACCCTGGATACTTAATAGTTTCCTAAGGGCGCGTGTGGTCTGTTTAGAAGTTCAAAATAAAGTTCGAACTTTGGGTGGTTACCCTATTCGCTAATTTCGCGAAGGGTGCTTCGCGAACCAAGCATTGTATGGGCTCTGCAAAAGTTCGAGTTTGAAATATGAACTTGACTCGAGTCGGAGGCGCGAATGTGCGTGCGCACGTTCATGCGAGCGTGTGTGATTTGCAGCACGTCCGAACAGCTGGCGAAACGGGCGAGCGCTTCGCCAGTGCATGAAGTTGCACAACGAAGACACCCCACAATTCGTGCACACAGTTGTAGCCACGTGTCCAGCATACAAGGTGTTGCCATGGGGGCTATTTGTACCCTGGTTACACACTCGGCGCGGAAGGTGAGTTGGAGCTCTAGGTCCTTGTAAACCGAGGCGCAAAATGTTGACGTGGCGCACCGTCAAGACGAGCGAACCGGGTAACCTATGATGTTGACGTGCGGCTAGGCTCGTTTTTACAAGTTCGAATGTCGGGGTTCGACCTGTCAAAATGAGGAATGATGATGCCATTGATGTTGGTTGGGGTACATATAACAAACCCTAACTTCTGTACCCCCTAAGACAAACCTCACTACAGGCTACAACATTTGACACACCCCCATAGCCTAAGTGAGGGGTGTCTAGCAAAATAAAAAAAAGAGTACGGTCACAAGACCAGTCCAAAAGAAAACAAAGCTCAGGGTGGATCACAACGTCACCACACTCTCTGAGCACAAGCAACAGTGGCCACAAGGCCAGTCCAAGAGATCACAAGTATATATAGCAAGAGTACAGACGAAGCAGGCAATAAACTCAAGCCTACACATGACTAGAACCTGTGTCAACAAGGCCTAACTGCACACAACACCTCTGGTGGTCACGAGGCGGAAGCGCCTTGGTGAAGATGTGTGCAGTGTTGGCCTCGGACTCCACAAACTCGAAGCGAGCCTGTCCACGTCTCTGCAACTCTCGCAGAAGAAAGTACCTGACGTGAATGTGCTTCACTCTGCTCTCCAGTCGCGGCTCACGACAGAGGAGGATCGACGCCTTGTTGTCAGTGAACAAGGTCGGTGCAGAGCTCGGCCGCTCACCAAGGTCGGCGAGCAAGAAGGTCAACCAACGCAACTCCTGTGCCGCCATGGCACCAGCGTAAATCTCAGCCTCAGCTGTAGAGGTCGAGACAGAAGAGGAGCGCGTGGAAGTCCAGGAAACAGCTCCAGAACCCAGACTGAAATAGTACCCCTGAGTAGACCTGTGAGTCTTAGCGTCGTCAGCGTAAGAGGAGTCACAGTGACCAGTGAGTACGACAGACTGCTGCCCTCCAAGAACTAGCCCCACGCCTGATGTAGTCGCTAGGTACTTCGCCACCCTCACAGCTGTCGTCCAGTGAACAGGACGGTGTCTCCCTGGCGCAACAAAGCGCGCAAGGATGCTGAGAGGGAAGGCGAGGTCCGGGCGAGTACAAGTCATCAGGTACATGAGGCAACCCACAAGCTCTGCGTAGGGACCACTAGGCTCAAACGGCTCGTCAAGAAAGGGACCAGTGAGTCTGTGGTCAACAGCGAGAGGTGTGCGCTGTACGGTGGAGTGCTGAAGCCCGAACCGCTGAAGGACCTGCTGCACCATGTGTGACTGTGAGAGTGTAATGGTGCGAGCGGCTCTGTCCCTGGTGATCTGCAGGCCAAGGTAGTGGCGCAGCTCACCAAGATCAGTGCACGTGTGTCTCTTCTGCAGTTCGGACTTCACGTCTGCCAAAGCAACCCTGTCCGGAGTGGCGAAAACGAGGTCGTCGACGTAAACCAGAACAAAGAACGGTGTGGAGCCACGACGAACGAACAGCGACGGGTCGGCAGAAGACGGCTGGAACCCAAGGTCAGAGAGGGTAGAACGCAGATTGTCGTGCCACTCACGAGGGGCCTGGCGAAGACCGTAAACAGGTCGCCTCAGCCTCCACTGGGTCCCAGGAGGGAAGGTGCCAGTGAAGGCCGAGGGACGACGCAACCAGACCTCCTCGTGTAGGCTGCCCTGAAGGAAAGCAGTGGAGAAGTCGAGAGAGTGTAACTCGTAGTCTCTCTGTGCTGCTACGTGTAGTAACACCCGAAGAGTGGTCATCTTCGGGGTAGGTGCGAAGGTCTGAAAGAAGTCAACTCCCTCGCGCTGACTGAAACCTCTAGCCACGTAGCGCGCCTTGAAGACCGGGGGAGATCCCGGTGGCCGCTTCACCCTGTAGATCCACATGCCGTCGACTACGTTCGCCCCAGGGGGGGGAACCTCATCAACGTAGGTGCCTATGGATCTGTAGGAGGCCATCTCTGCGTCCATGGCAGCTCTCCACTGAGAGGCCCAAGGCCCTGACACTGCCTCAGCGTAAGTGCGAGGAGTCGGAATGTCAAGGGCGTCGGGGTCACCCTCAGGGGCGAGGAGCATGGCACAGAGATGAGGGGAAGCGGCCGCCAGGAAATCTAGCTCAAACTGCCTGTCCTCTAGGGCGTCACAGCCAAGGGCAGACACACCCCCGACGGCCAGAGGACTGGTAGGAGGAGCAGCCACAAGCGTGGTGGCGTAGTCAAGGCGGCGGGTAGAGGCAAAGTCAGTAACTGCGGCAGTAAGAGCGGACACAGAGGACACAGAGGCACGAGGGTGAGTAACAAGAGAGGCGAGAACACGAGAGAGAACAGGACGGTACGTGCGGTAGTAGTCAATGACAGGAGTAGGGAGCGACACAGTGAGGGCCGACTCAGGAGGAGACGGAAGCACAGACTGAGACGGACGAGGTGGACTAGAAAGAAGGAAGGCAGTACGAAGGTCAGTGAAGGGAACAAGAGACGAGGGACGAGCACGAGGGGAGCGACGAGTAGCCCAAGAACGAGACGGAGGAGGAGAGGACAAAGGCGGAGAATTTGGGAAAACAGCGGGGGAGGAGTCAGGAGGAGGAAACGTGGGACCGTAGACAGGAGGAGAGGCGGAGGAGGGAGGAGAAGGGGAGGGGAGACCAAGGGTTCGAAGACCCGAGACAGGAGGAGGAAGTGGCTGCTGCTGCTGCTGCTGCGACTGCTGCTGCTGCGGAAGCGACTGCTGCTGGGACTGCTGCTCCTGCGGGTCCAGCTGTTGCTGCTGCTGCTGCTCCTCCTGCGGCTCCAGCTGCTGCTGCTGCTCCTCCAGCCGCTGTAACTCCCTCTCCTCTCCCTCCAACGCCAGCTGCTTGTCACGGGCACGGCGAACACGAGCCTGGTGCCTAGTCGGGTAGGGGTGGGGGGGGCGGAGTAGTGTCCGAAGCAGCGGTAGCTCCAGAGTCCACCCCCGAAGAACCAGGCGCACCACCCCCAGAGGCAGCACTAACACCAGCTCCAGACCCAGGCTCACCAGAACCCGAAGGAGGCGCACTCTCACCCCCAGTGTCCGCGCGACCAGCACCAGCTCCCGGACGACAAGAGTCCTCTGCACCCACCGGGTCAGCTCCAACTCCAGAACCAGAAACTCCAGCTCCAACTCCAGCTCCAACCCCAGCACCCCCAGAACCAGAAACTCCAGTGCCAACTCCAGCTCCAACTCCAGCTCCAACTCCAGCTCCAACTCCACCACCCCCAGAACCAGAAACCGGTACAAGAACAAGCGCAGCACCAACCTCTCGAGAGCTAGCACCTGCGGCACGCTGCGAGGAGGACTGTGGGGAGGGAGGCTGTACCGGAGAGGCTACCGAAGGAGGAGGGGTAGCCTGGGACACACCCGACGGGGCTGGACCAGGGGGGGGAGGCTGTACCGGGGGAACAGGAGGGGGAGCGGCAGTCAGGAAGAGGGGGGGAGGAGGAACCTGGAGACCTCGACTGGGGTACCTGACGTAGTACGGAGTGGACTCCTCGAAACGGACGTCACGGGAGTCAAAGAACCGGTGAGAGGGAGGGTGGTAAAAGGTGAAGTCAGAGGAGTCCTCAGGGAAACCAAGGAAGACACAGGGGACGGCACGAGGCGAGAGCTTGTCCGCGGAGGTGTCGCGGACAAGAGCCAAGCACCCCCAGACACGAAACCGCGACGCAACACCAGGAGACCCTGTCCAAAGACTGGTCGGTGAAACCTCTGGTCGAGAGACACGTGGCCAGAGGTTCAGCTGGTGCGCGGCGTACCTGACCGCGTAGGGCCACAGAAAATGGGGGGCACAGGCGTGAGTCAGGGAGGTGCGGGCGATCTCCATGACCAGGCCTATGCGGCGCTCAGCAACCCCATTCTGCTGTGGGGACTCTGGAAGCGTCCAGGACTGACGAATGCCCTGCTCGCGACAGAATCCAGCGAGAATGCCGGAGCAAAACTCACCCCCACGGTCGGAGTGGAGGCAGCTGACACGACAAACACGAGTGTCCTCGGTGGTGAGCAACCACCTGATCAGCGTAGAAGTCACCTCAGACTTCTTCGCCAGAGGGAACACTGTGGTGTAGCGGGAGAAGTCGTCAACGACCACCAGAAAGTAGCGCTCACGCTCAGGGCCTAGACGAGGGGCGGGGCCCCAGACGTCCAAGTGAAGCGTCTCAAAAGGCTCGGTGGCCGGACGAAGGGAGGAGGAGTGAGGGGCGGCGCGCAGCCGACCCTCGACGCAGGGACCACACGGCGGCGCAAGCGAAGGCGGCAGCGACGGCAAGACACGTGGGAGGCCTAGGATAAGACGCTGACTAGACATAGCGCGCAGACGTGGAAGGGACGGGTGCCCCATCCGGTGGTGCCACAGAACGGTGGGGTGGGCAAGCGACCGG